AGAAAAAAAAAAAAAAAAGAAACAGAAATTTGAAGAAAGGCCACATTTTTCAAGAACAAACCCTAGGATTGTACTCTGGGCCATCATACACAAATGAACAGTTCAAAACAGTGGTTGCTCTAATATAATGCACCACCAAGGGCACATCACTGACAAGAAGCTGCAGGTAGAATATTAAGTCTTTTCATTTGTAATCAATTGTAAAAAAATGAAACATGAAATCCCATGTTCCCAAATGGGATGTCACTTTACAAAACACCTTCCCTATAGCACACAAGCTATCATTTGGGATCTCTTCCTGTAACTAGCTCATCACGGCATCTTGCAAAGGTTCAAATCAAAGAATCAGTATGCTTCTTTTCCTCTTTATTCTTTCCCTTTTTTTAGTTTAAAATCTTCTAACTGATCAGATTTGAGCGGGAAGGTGCAGAAGTTCCTAATAATAATAGAATATATAAATGACATTAGTCTTCTGCACACAAAGGAAATAGATAGTACCACAGAAGAGTAAGATATAGGAAATTAGAGCACATTTCAGGTAAGTATTTACATGGGAATTGTTTTGGTTTTTGGTGGGTTTTTAAAAATTTTTTATTTGTTGTGTGCCATCAATTGGATCCGACTGGCCTAGCAAGAGAGTGCTACTCTTTCTCCAGTGGAGTATCTGGTGGATATGAACAGCTCGCCTTCAGGATTGCAGGGCAGCTTCTTGCCACGAGGCCACCAGAGCTCTCTATATGTCTTGGTTTTATGTGCCACAGAGTCAGAGCCAACACACAGCTGACTCTACAGCAGATTTTCAGAGGCTATAATCACATAGGAGACTGCCCATCTTTCTCTCATGATCATCTGGACTCAAACTGTGTACCTGAGTTGACAACACAACTCCTTATCCACTAGGTCAGTAGAGTTCCATTGTTCTTATGTGCTGTCAAATTGCCCACAACTCACAGCAATCCTAGGCACAACAGCTCCGAACCCCGTCCTAACCTGAGCCAATCTGTCTTTTAACACACCTATCCCCATTATCCCAGTTAGAGCCAATCCATTTACTCCAGGATCTTCCTCTCTTGCACTGTCCCTCCAAACCCTTCCAAGCATGATGTTCTCTGACTGGTCCCTCCTGGCCACATGCCCAAAGAATGTTGGACAAAGCTTCAAGATCCTTGCCTCCAGGAAGCAACTTGTTTTCACTATCTCCAGGACAGACCTGTTTGTGCTCTTGGTGGTCCAGATGTCAGTTCCTCCTCCTTCAGTTGAGAACTGTTTTGTCTCCCTATGAACAGCTAACTCTCCCGCCTTGCCCTGGAGAACTCAAGGCTAAATGTGTGTTTTACATTTGCCTACCCTTCTTTCTTTTCCATTTCAATTTTATTGAAACATGAAAAATGGCTTTACCATTGCTCACTCAAATCAAGGGATAGCTAAGATTAAGTAAAAATTCCCAGTCTGACGCTCACTTTTCAAATCTGACTGAGAAACCTTCCCGCTTCATGTCCCAGAACTACCATTTATAAACCATTTACTGGAAAGTAACTGACTTTCCCCAAAGTGAGCCTTAACCCTCCTGGACCTGCATCTAATGGGAAGAACCAACTATGACCACTAACCAGAAAGAAAAATGATACCAGTTTTACACATCTGGCCACAAACATTATCAACTTGTGATCTGGGTGCAGCAATATACCACAGGGACACACACTGCCACAAATTTCATAAACAAACTGAAATAAGAGCAGTGAATTTTTTTTATCAACTGGCTGTTTAATTTCTAAAGGCCAGAAGTATGTGTCTGTTCCATGAAGACAAGGATTTTTCTGTTTCTGGCTCTGTGTTCCACACGTCTGACACTTCTGGGGCATGACAGAAATTGGGAAGACGGTACAGGATAGGGCAAGTTTCAGATCTGCTGTCCACAGGGTCACAGTTGACTTTACGGTACCTAACAACAGTAGGCATCAAATGTTCAGGGTGAATAAAAAAGAGGGGACCAATTAAAAAAAACAACAAAAAAAATTGTTCAAATACAATTTTTAGTATTTATTGATAGAAATAGATCTTTAATGCATACTTTGTATTTATAGAAAGTGTACATTCTCTTCAAGATATTTTTTTGGGCCTTCAAGTAAACTTAACATATTATCTATGCATTTGATTCTTTTTAGACTTTTTTTCCCCTAGATTTTAAAAC